GTCAGTCCAGCTTTTCCTTCTGTTCAGACTGTTTTTATGCTGAATTGTATTTAAAGTTTAAAAAGTTCCACGGTTAAAAAGACGTTTCAGAAGTCGGTGAGTAACCGTGTTAAATAATCCTGACTATGATTTTTGCCATAATGGAGCAGACCTAAAATAAATGTTTTAATTTGATTTAAAGCAGAAATAATGTTTCCTGTTCTCCTCTGTCACATGTCACTGTAAAGGAAATCGTTTTTGTGTTTCAACAAAACTTCATTTGAAGGCATCACATTTGTCTCTGTGAGGCTGAGTTATTGAAGATTTAAAGATTTTGACTTCAGTCTTAAAAGGTCAGAGGTCAGCCTCAGTAAACCTCCTCTGTTAATCACCTGAGGAACGTGTTCCTGCTCATACATGTTCTCCAACACAGAAATAGAAACAAACGAGTGAAATGAAAGAGAATTAATGACGGAGATTATTCTGGAGAGAGTCCTGGCGCTTTACTTTGAAGGTCTCCTCCTCCTCCTCCTCCTCCTCCTCCTCTTCCTCTGCCATGTGTTTTAGTCTTTCTTTTCTTTCTGCAGCTCTGTGTTGGCACAGAGGGCTGAAATGATGGAGGGATGGATGGAGGAGTGTTTTCAGTCCCATGGCGCTCGCTCTCATTTCCATGTTTTTCCTCCCTGAGCGATGACGAAGAGGAAGAGCTCGACATCTTTTTCTCCTCGTCTTCGTCCATCTGTTTCTCTGCATCTGTTCTCTCCTCGTCCTTCTTCCTCCCTAAATTTATCTGCTCTTATTTATCTCTTGGTCTTCATTCCTCTGTCCTCTTTCACTCTCTGTTGGGCAAAGTTTCAAGTTCAAATCATAAAGCAGGTCGTTCCTTAAATAGTTCGTTCCCCTTCTCTCCACCTTTCTCTCTTTTTCGTGATCTGCATCCTGAGTTCAGACTGAGAACAGAGATGATGCAGCTTTTCTTCCCCCTGATGAATGATGTTTATTCCTGTGTGTGTGTGTGTGTGTGTGTGTGTGTGCGTGTGTGCGTGTGTGTGTGTGTGTGTGTGTGTGTGTGCGTGTGTGCGTGTGTGTGTGTGTGTGTGTGTGTGTGTGCGTGTGTGCGTGTGTGTGTGTGTGTGTGTGTGTGTGTGAGTTGATGGATTGATTTTGTTCAAGTGCTGCAGTGCCCACATGTTCCCAGATGTTTTCTTGTCATCTTTTGTTTATTTTCTACCCAGAATCCTCTCTGGCTCAGAGTCTCCCTCCGCTCTGACTCGACACAGTTTTGTCCAGACAGCAGTTTTTATTTCTCTGTTGACGGAGGTCAAAACACTGATGTACAGTGTTTGTACAGTATTTATACAGTATTTATACAGTGTTTTCACAGTGTTTACCTTAGAGCACCAGCAGGTGGTTATTAAAGATCATCGTCTGCAGGAAGATGCTCCACTCGTTCCCTTTTCCCTGAGCTCATTGTTAGTGTTGATTCCAGCAGTGTTGAAGCTGCAGATGATAATTATTTTCATCATCACTTTATCTGTTGATTATTTTTTAATTTATAAACAAAGCATTTAAAAGTAATGAAATAAAATAATAATAATAATAATAACAATGGATCTCAATTAGAGCAATGACATAAACTCAACACCAGTTCAACCATCTCACCTTGACCACCAGCTGATGATGCTCCTGCACGGTGGGTCGTACTGGGAGCCAGCGTAGGGGAACTGGAGGGCCCCGAAAACAGGAAGCAGCTGGATCAACATCCTGCCTGGCAGAGAGGGAGGGGGGGTCGGGGTGGGGTCGGGGGGGACGTCCCTTAAACAGGCCGGCGTTTGTAAGACCCTCAACAATATCCCCCTCTGTGTGACCGCCGGCCAATAGGGAAGCTTCTCTCTGGATTCTTTCCAGACAGATACCATCCACACACACACACACACACACACACACACACACACACACACACACACACACACACACACACACACACACACACACACAGACACAGTAGAAAACAGCAGAAACAAACACTGTGTCAGTATCATAGCAACAGGAACAGTTGGAGGAAAACATCTGTTTTCAGGACAGATGTGTGAGGATGTCGTGCTTGAGGATCTGATCTGGAGTCACAATGATCAGTTGATTAACAGAAAATTTATCAGTAACTTTTCTGATAATCAATAATTCATTTGGATTTTGGACGAAATGACATTTGAAGAGTTTGAGTTTTTTCTTTGTGACGGTTTTTAAACCAAACAGGAAATAATTCAGTCATTAATGTGCAGCTCTTCTCTGTTTTTATATTATTGTAAATATTTTCATGTTTTCTCTGACACTTTATTGCCGATATGATTGATCAGTTCGTTGATCAGTTCTTAGAAAAAGAAATGACAGATTGAAGCACTTTGTGTCCGACATGACGGATGAAGCGGGGCGGTGTTTGAGGACACAGGAGAAGACTGGTGGGTTTCTAGGGCACAATGGGGCAGTGGGGCAGCTTATTGTTGCCCCGGGCTCCACCAGCGGGGTCGTGAGGTCATGATGATGGCACGTGGCTCCTGTAGTTTTGAAGCAGCACTGGACATATATTAATGTCCTGCGTTCTCCTTCAGAGCTGAGTAAAGCTTTAGTCTCACACTGATGGAGAAGCAGATTCTCAGACTTTGTGTTGAGGCAGTCGGAGAGGTCAGAGCGTCGGACCGAGGGTCAGCAGGTCAGCCGCCATTAAAACAACTCGTTCATGAAGACACGAGCCGGTCTCTGAATCTCCATCTGTCTCGTCTCCCCGTGGAAAAGAAGTTTTACCGCCTGGTGATTCAGCAGGAACGCAGCAGATTGTACGTGTTTTGTTTCGTGTGGTTTCTCACGTCCAACAACATCAAGTCAGTGTGAAACTCCGTCACTGTGATTATCTTGATTGTTGGTTTCACTTGTTTGTTTCCCGCTCAGATTCGACCTGAGCAGGTGAAAACAAACTGAATTTCACAGTTTGAAACCACAAACTTAAAATCACTGTAACTCTGTTTATTTATTATATTTCACGTCTTTTTCTGGTCCAGACGTCACGGTGCTTCAGGGCTTTTAGCACTTTGTCTCCTGTCTCTCTCTCTGGTGGAGAGACACTGAGTCTTCAGGCTGACACAGATTGCTGCTGATGAATTAGTAAAAAGGGACTGGGGGGCTCTGAGTGGATCCGACCCACTGGCCTAGTTAACACCGAGGCCGAGGTGTCGCAGGGAGCAGCGGGGTCAACGGCGTCTGAACAGGGTCGAGGAGGTTCAGGGTCCTGGACCTGGTTCTAGATCCTCACTCAGGAGGTTTGAGTCGCCACTGAGGATGGAATTAAAAAATATATTATATATTAATGACCCACTGTGTCACTGTGGATATCAAACGCTTCTATTACTGATAAATAGTAAAGGAAACTTTACAAAATGCACCTTCTGTTGAACTGGATAAAGTTCCATCCAAAACACATTGGCATCAGGTCACACTTGAAATGTGTCATTGATTGATTCCCACAGTGTATTTCACAGAACATGGAGCCTTCTGTGTCACACTGGTTTAGATAAGAGTGTCGTACAGACCCGAGCCACACCTTCTATTTTTCTTTAAATCTCACTTTCTCAGCAGTCTGAATGTGAATGAGTCTGTGAGCCCAGATGTTCTGGTTTGTTTTGTTAATGTTTGTTGCTTCGATGCAATCAATCAAAATCAACATGAAAAAGCTTTTCCAAAACACTGACACGTTTGTTTGACGTCTTTCGGTCATGTGACCTCTGCGGATCCCGCAGATTAAACAGCAGCGTCTCAGTGAAGATGGGAAACTTTGCGTAGCTGTAAAAATGCAGCTCGTTGTGTGACTGAGCGTCGTCGGCTCGTTCACAGTGAGAGCTGATTCTCCTGCACCTGTTGTTTCCTGTGTAAAATCTGACACTGGCAGCGAGTTGCTGCACGTTCTCTCTCCAGAGAAACGCTCGTCTCACCATGTGATGTCCCTCAATCAACACGTCTGCTCCTCCTGCTGCAGCAGATGTGAGTTAAAGACGCCGGTTGATGATGCAGAGAGACGTGATGCTGCCGCCGAGCAGACGACTCAGAGCAGTCAGACACCAACTCCAAAATGTTTGTCAGGACCAAAGACGTAAAGACGTCCACAGCTTCATATGATGTTCAGATTTACAGAACTCTCCTTTTTATATCTTTAAAATACATAGAAAACTGTTGTGTTGATGTTCAGGTGTGTGAGTGTGTGTGTGTGTGGACAGAAGGATGTGACCTCCCTGATAACACTGACTCTATCTCACTTCAATAACACACACTTGGATAGTTGAATCTGGAAATTGTGTGTGTGGGAGGAAGATCAATTCGCCTCCACCCCCACCTCATTTCCCATGACCTCTCAGCCCCACTGCCTCTGCTCTGGAGCTTAACACACACACACACACACACACACTCAGCGCTCCAAACAGACCAGCTCTGTAGAGACAAACATCAAACTGAAGCTGCTGTCGCTCAGAACAAAAACAGAATAAATGAAAGTGTGTGAGTCCTTCATCCTGAGAGCATCACTGTGACACCTGAAGCTGTTCATCATGAGACCTGGACTCCGTCATTACGAGGTCTTGAATCGTTGTCAGCATCTGGATATACTGTATATATAAAACATCTGGACGGCTCCTAATTGATTCCAGGTTTCTTTAACGTTTCTCAGTTTATTGCTGCAGATAAATATAAAAACACTTTTTACTTCTTAAAACTAGAAATTTAAAAAGAGATTTATCTGAGAAGGAACTTTGTGTTGTTGGGTTTAATCCTGCTGTCAGTCATCTGTCAGCTCTTCCTCCTCCTCGTCTTCCTCACCTCTCATCACTGAGCGGGAGCAGATCGACTCCCTCGTTACCGCCGCTCGTCGTGTTGTTGTCACGCGCAGGTCGAGTCGTGGCGACCTCTGCTGCACCTGAAGGCGCCGCCTGTTCGTTACAGCTGATTGACAGGTGTCTCCCTCTCTGTGTCTCTTGCAGATGCGTTCGTGAACAGTCAGGAGTGGACGCTGAGTCGAATGGTACCAGAACTGAAAGTGGTGAGTTCAAAGACCTCGCACTAAATCACGTGACTGTAATTAAAGCATATTGTGTATTATTTAACTCTTGACACTGCCTGATCACCCCTCCCCTCCTGTCTCCGCTGCAGGGCATTGTGGGTAACCTGGCCAGCGGTAAGTCGGCGCTGGTCCACAGGTACCTGACGGGGACGTACGTCCAGGAGGAGTCACCTGAAGGTAGGAGCACTCCTCTTTCTTCCTGTGTTCATCAGGTCTGGCTGGATCTGTTCAAAAACCTTCAACGTTCCTGAGCCCCCCCCCCCCCCCCCCCCCGGCCAAGATTACACTCATGAAATAAATAAAAAAAGAGGAAAGTAGATTAACTCACTTTCAAAACACGAGGAGAAAATAATAAAGTGCGGCAGGATTAAAACCCCGGCCGGCGAAATAAGACGTTAACAACCTCCATCTCCTGCACGCAACCTCTCCGAGCTCCTCCCCCTCCTCCCCCCGCTGCGTCTCCTCCTTCTCTCCGTCTCCTCGTCCTGCACTCAGAGAAACAAAAGCTCCGACGTGACCAACGGAGCAGAAACTCTGGTAGAAGAGGAAATCAGGATCATTGATTAGAAATAAAAACTTGTTTGAGACGAGTTCAGACATTTAAAATGTTGATGTGATTCTCCGTTACTCGTTGGGTCAGTTTGATCAGAACATGAAGAACTTGGAAGATCAGGTTTTATTATTATTGATTATCAGAATATTTGCAGGTGAATTCTCTGTCAGTCGATTCAGCCTCAGTTCCTGTTTTGTGCCAGTTTTAAAGGGACAGTTCAACAACTCGTCTGATTCTGTCCCAAGTAAAGAATAGAAATAAAGCTGCTCTCACGTGTGGCGCTCGCTGACGAACATGTTGAAGGTCGTCTGGTTAATATCAGCCTGCCCCCACCAGCCCGATGTCAGAGCTGCGTGAACAGGAGCGTCAGGAGGAGTCAGGTTTGATGAATAAGTGAATGTTGTTTCAGGTCCGTCTATGAAACTTTAAAGAGCTGCTCCATCTTCTCCTGCAGAGTCCGTACAGTAAAAAGCCAACTGTAGTTTCCTGTGTAGTCTCTGCTCACACGCCCTGCAGTGATGGCCATATTCCTCATGTAATATTAAAGCCCCCCCACATTCTGTACACTACACCATCACCCCCCTCCCTCCAGGCAAAGACCCACTTCTGCTAAAGCCCATGTTCCTTTAATATTTCACCACTTCCTCTCTGGAGGCTGGAGATCAGATCCACACGCTCAGAGAGCCCCGACCTCAGAGTAGAAGCTGCTTCTACTGGGGGGGGGGTCAGACCTCTCACATGATTTCATTTCCATGGATTTAACTCTTCACTTCACCATTTAACTTTATATGAAACTTTCTGTGGTAAGAGAAGAAAATGAATCTGATCTGTGATTTAATATGACACAGATAAAAGTCACACTGTGTCCTTCCTGTGGAGGCTGGACGGAGCGAGATCAGATTTAAGAACCAGTGAAGCTGAATGATCAGAAGGTTTTTACCTCCACCATGTTTCCTGAGCTGAGGACTGAGGCTCGTTAACCCCTCCACCTCTCTGTGTGTTTGAAGCCTTGAAAACCGTCAGACGTGGTTTATTTAGGAAGAAAACGTTGCTGCTTCTGTCGTGCAGGGACCCAGCCGGCACCGGCCCACAAACCAGTTTTAGCTGCCGGTTCCCTCGGTGCAGAAACTAGGCCCTGGATGTTCAGAAGCAGGGAGAGAGGGAGTGTCTTTAAAGCTGCGAATCAGCCAAAAGAAAGAAGAGGGGAAGTTGGTTTTTTCATGAATTAGCTGTTGAAGGAGCCGATCACAGATTAACTGACTCCAAAGGCTCGTATAAATAATCTGATGCGGTGCCGGGAGGAAATCCTCCCCGTCTGTGGAGAGGGGGAATCCCCAGAGCAGATCCTCTCTGAGGTGTGTGAAGTAAGAAAGGAGAAGATCTTCTTCAGCGGTGACGTACCTCTTCTGAAAATGCCCTCTGCGGCTCGGCCTGCTAAATGCCCGACGGTCTGTTTCCACCGCTCGGACCTAATTACACCAGCGCTCTGCCAAAAGCAACACGACACGGCTTTTCAAGCAGCCTCACATACCGTATCCGAGCCAGCCCCAAACAACAGCTCCACAACATCTTTGATCTAATGACTTGGCAGCGCCGCCCGTCGAGGAGGAAGTGGCGATTCCACTCCAATTAAATAAAAAAGAGCCTCTTTGAAATCGTTGCGTAACCACGGAGAAATAAAAGGAGCTCAGGGGGATGAAAAGAGCGGGAAGCTGATGTGTTGTTCTCAAATTCCTCGGGTCTAAAAATATGCAGCAGCCTGGATTCCCATGGCGACTGATTGGGAGCAGAGTTGGTGGCTCTCGAGCGGCACTGCGACCGCAGCGCCACAAAACCCAGATCTATTCTTGTCCTGCAGACTGGAGCCTGAGGTTAATGAGCCTCATGTCACACACTTTAACTGTCACCAAACCTGCAGCTCGTGTAACGTTTGCTTTCCTTTGTCTGTGGCTTTTCTACAAACTCCTTATGCTGCGTTCAAGGACGCTCAGACCTGTAAGATCTGGTGTTTATTGGCTGAAAACAAAGTGCAGATAAAGATGGGCTGAAAGGAGAAAACAGCTGCTGGTTCAGCTTCACACTGAGGCTGCAGCTGATGATCAATTATATTATTGATTAACTTACAGGTTGTTTTCATGACTAATTGATAAATTTGCTCATCACAGTTTCCCAAAGCGCAATGTGTTGGTATCAGATTTGTCTTGTTTTGTCCAACCAGCATCAAGAGCTGCAACGAGGAGTTAATTGATTAGTCGATCGATAGAAAACTAATAATCGATGAATCCTCAAAGTGATTTTTCATACAAAGATGGTGTAATTAGCTGTTTATGTCAGTTTCCTGTCACATTAAAGTCACATGACAAGAAGAAGCTGGGCTGGACATTTTATAAACGAAATCAATAATCAATGAAGGAAATAATCATATCATACTGCAGGTCTTCAACTGAAAGATTATTTAACGTAACAGAAAGAATCAGGAAATATTCAAAATGATCAATCATCAAAACAGCTGCTTGTCTGATTGTCCTTGAATGCACATACACAAAGCGGGGGGGGTTGGGGGGGTCTGTTTTGAAAATACCCCCCAAAAATACCCCAAAACCCCAGAAAGTCAAACTCCAGCCGAGTGTTTGAGCAGCAGCACATGGTCTCCATTACACAGAGAGGAGGTGTGGTTGGGAAATCACCCACAGTCCCTGAACTAACGCTGAGTCTCGAAGGCCAGAAACTCAGATGCTGTTGTTTCCTGACAGACGATCTTCTGTCTGACTAATGGACACAGAGACGTGTTTAACAGACTGTTAATAATAATAAGACAAACATGATGCATTGTGGGAGAATCTACAAATCCTGTTCTCCTATCAAATCATATTCTCCAGATGACTGTTTGGTACAAGACCAACAAAAATCACATCATCATCATTTAAAAAAAATTCAGTGAAAATGAAAATGAGAAAAACGAACTGGAATCTTAATATAATTTTTTGTTGCATGTCGTGCAGCTTTAATTTCCTTCATTCATTAACTGAGGTGATAACAATAAAGATGGCCGTCGCTTCTGTGACGTCACCCACAGGTTTCTGAAGCTCAGAGTGAGCTGCTCCACCGTCGCCATCTTGGCAGAGTCTGACTCCGCCTCCTAACTCCCAGCTAACCCAAACATGGTCAAAGAGGAGGAGCTTTAAACATGTTTATTTCTGCTGTGAAGTTTTAACATGGGAGTCTATGGGGACTGACTCACTGTTGGAGCCAGACTCTAGTGGCCGTTAGAGGAACTGCAGCTTCGTGTTTCAGCCCCGGAGGTTGTTGAAAACCCAAAATATTCCCTGAATATAAAAACGGGACAAAGAAAAGTCTGGCCTCAGTTAGTGTAACTGATTCAAAGGAGACAGATCCAGCCTGATGGTTTAAATGTGTGTGATGTGTTCACTGCTCTAATAAAACTCTGTGCACTCTTGTTTCTATCTCTTCTTCTTCTTCTCTGCTGTCGTTCTGTCCTCTCTGGGTTTGACTGTGCTCACATTAACTGTGGCTGCATCTTTGATGTTGTTTGCTTTATGTTTCCTCTCCTCCTCCTTCTTTCTGGGCTGCTCTTGATAAACTAGCTGACGTGGACGCAGGTAACTATCCTCTCTCTCTCTCTCTTCCTCCACCTTGCTCATCCCTCCATCCACCGACCCTCTGACTGCGACAGCGGCGTGTCGAGGGCGGCTCGGGTTCAGCGCCATCTCTTTATGTGGAGCTCTGACTGTGTCACAGGCTGATCAGCTGTTTCTGGTTTTACTTATAATCAATTATATTGATGCATTTTAAAGCATCTATAAACTGATTCATCAAGAGATTAAAAAACTCTAAATTTCCCATAATGCATAGCTCAGTCAGACGATTCATGTTGAGACTGAACCTGAAGCTGAACTCGACCGGCTGCTGTGACTCGACGTTTAGCTCCGCCCTTCATCTGTTAGCTTCCTCTTTAAATTGATCTTCATCGTCTTCATCATCCTCATCCTCTTGTAAACTACACAACACACTGTACGATACAATAAATAACAATCCAAATATGCAAAGTGGCTCCAACAACAATGATGATAAACTTTGTGATGAAGGAAAGACTTCAGCTTTATTTTGGGGGCCCAGTGTTTTGGTTGAAGGACTGGATTTGGCCCCCGAGCCACGTGTTGCCTCCCTCTGCTTTACATACATGATGAGGACTTCTGCTACTTTAAGTGTAGTTCTGATAGTGTGTGTGTGTGTGTGTGTGTGTGTGTGTGTGTGTGTGTGTGTGTGTGCGTGCGTGCGTGCGTGCGTGCGTGCGTGCGTGCGTGCGTGCGTGCGTGCGTGCGTGCGTGCGTGCGTGTGCGTGTGTGTGTGTCTCGGCCTCCTCCCCCTCCTCACCACCATATAAACATCCACTCTGTCATTAACCCCCTGTGTGTGTGGTGAGGGCCGTTGCCGTAGTGATGATCTCCTCATGCTCCACCGCAGCTCCGTCCGCTCGCTCACACCCCGTCCACGGCGTTCACAGATCAGCTGATCCCGAAATAACGTCTGGACTCCATTTTTAGTTTGAGAGACTTCCTGTAAATCCTCAGGACGAGACGTTTGTTCCCACACTGAGACATCACGCTGCTGACGCTCGCCTCTTAAAGGGACAGTACACCCAAAAATAAGTCTCTTTACAAAACAAACGTCTGGTTGACATCATTAATTAGAAGAGTGCTTTATGAAATATGAAATTAAATTAAAAACTAAAGATTAGCTTAAGGAGTTTGATATAACGAACTGAAATGATAGAAACAGTTTTAAAAAGATAAAAACAGGGAGATTGATGTTATTTTTATACATTTGAGCGCCGATCAACTCGACCTCCAACACAACACGGAGGTCAGGTCCGGAGCGTCCTGACAGTCGTCCCATGAGCTTAAAATAAACATGTATAAAGAAGGAGTCATGGGAAAGATCCACATCAGACAGCTTGAGTAGAATCACAGTAGAACCCCACACTGAGGATTTCACTCTGACCAGAGGTTAACCTCCGTCTCCTGCGGCAACACGCTCCGACACGACACACTGGAATATCTACAGTAACGTGAGCGCAGGTTCGCTCATCAGCTTTGAGAGGATTAAAGTCCGAGAGAGAAAATGTGTCTGTGGAGGAAAGGAGAGTGAAACTGTCAAGGTCAAAGGTCAAAGGTCACGACGGGAGTCAAATCTGAGGAAAGACTCAAAGAATGATCAGAATTCAACAGAGTATGATCTGTGTGTGTGTGTGTGTGTGTGTGTGACTGAGTGTGTGTGTGTGTGACTGAGTGTGTGTGTGTGACTGAGTGTGTGTGTGTCAGTGTGTGTGTGTGCGTGTGTGTGTGTGTGTGAGACTGAGTGTGTGTGTGTCAGTGTGTGTGTGTGTGTGTGTGACTGAGTGTGTGTGTGTGCGTGTGTGTCAGCTGCAGGTGGTCGTGACGTTACCTCTGTTTGTCCTCTACTTCTCTCTCCTCCACATTCAATCATTTAATTCATTTTAATCACTGCACATATTCTCCGATCACTCTGCTCTCATGTAGCTTTCATCATCTGTCACCCAATCAATCAATCAATCAGATCGATCACTGATTCCCCTGTAGAGCAGACAGAGCATGAATCAGCTGTTGTTTGTCTCTGATGGTTGTCGTGGTTTTGTGCAGGCGGTCGCTTTAAGAAGGAGATCGTGGTCGACGGTCAGAGTCACCTGCTGCTCATCAGAGATGAAGGAGGCCCCCCGGAGGCTCAGGTGAGTACTGCACCTGAACTCCACCACCTTCACCTGAGAAACTGACGGCACACTTTAACCCTGAAGCAGCCGGAGGCATGAAAACGCTGGCAGGCACAGGTCAATCCTGAATGTTAGCACAGTTAAAGACTTTAACCTGAGACTGTTACCCAGCATGCATCAGCTGTTACCCAGCATGCATCAGCTGTGAGCTCGGGTGCAGATGAGTCTGCAGCTGATTTATATGTTTTTCTCACAAGGCGTGGCAGTGAGAGGACGAGAGGTTGGGGTTAATCAGACAGTAGTGGGTGTGAATGTGGTGGCTACAAAGACTAGTTACTGGTTACTAGTTACAGGTTACTAGTTACTGTCTGACCTCCACAGACTGGATGCTGAGCAGTAATTAAACCCAGCTGGCATCAATGTTTGTCTTAAAAATCCTTGATTTCTTTCATCAAAATGTAATAAATATGTGAAACACTGTCTCAGAGAGTTTTTGTATTTAACTTGATTTATATACTATAATATAATATATACTTTATTATGATTTATTATTTGCTCTTTCTTGTTCAAGCAGCTGATGAGACACAGAACAGTGAAACGATGTCAAAGCTTCAGGTTCTACAGAGTCTGTTGGACACATTCATGACAGTGTGCAGTGATGGAACCAGATTATATATCACCCAGGTGATAACCCAGGTGATAACCCAGGTGATATCACCCAGGTGATATCACCTGGGTTATCACCTGGGTTATAATGTGATCATCCAAAAGTTAAAAACATGAAAATAACTGAAACTTTCTTTATATGTGTAAAACCATCTGGTTCCTCCACCTCCTCTGATTCTCCCTCAGTGAACAGTGACGGTGTCTTGGATGACAGACATGTAGTTGTGTAGTTGTGTTGTTGTTGTTGTGTAGTTGTTGTGTTGCTGTGTGAGTCTGTGGTCCGTGATAATTTCGGGGTGCGTGATGAAAGAGTGAAAGTGGGTCAGCTCAGGTTTTTTGTTTGTCCTGCAAACTGACCAAATGGATTTCTACTGAGTCTAGACAGAACACTGATGAATAATTCACTTGTTTTCTCTCTTTTCTCATCTTTTCCTCCGAGGATCAGTCGGATGTTTTCGTCTCTGACTCTCTGGTGCAGATTTAAACCAACAGTGTTTTTGTCCTTTGACACTTTTCCTCTGTCTGTGGCTCCAGGAGGGAGAGGAGTGTTGTAAATGTAAATAAAGTTATTTTTGAACCCGTCTCTCTGCAGTTCGCCCTGTGGGTGGACGCTGTGATCTTCGTCTTCAGCCTGGAGGACGAGATCAGCTTCCAGACGGTTTATCACTACTTCAGCCGCCTCGCCAACTACAGGAACACCGCCGACCTGCCGCTGGTGCTGGTGGGCACGCAAGGTCCGACACACGCACACACACACACTCACACACACACACACACACACACACACTCAGACACACACACACTCACACACACACACACACACACACACACACACACTCTCACACACACACACACACACACACACACACACACCATGGACAATGTTTTTCTGAAGCGTTGCTGCCATCTAGTGGCGTCTTATCATGATCACAGTTAAAACTCTCGCAGAGAAACAGAGTGAAACGATCAGCTGATTGACTGTCAATAAGGTGTCAATAATCCTCTGCTTCCAGCTTCTTAAATGTGCTTGATGTTTCATATGATTGTAAACTTAAAAATGAACTTGTATTTGCATTAATAACTTTTATTAACTAAACTAAGTAAAGGTCCTTTTGATATTAAACACCATGATCTGTAAATTGCCTGAAGCTCGACTTTAACGATCAGTCGAACAGTTGCAGATATTTTTTCTGTTAAAAGACAAATACATTAATTGATTAATTATTGACTCTCTTCAGGTCAAAGTGCGTCATCAGCTCCTCAGGATCTGTCCTCGCTCTGGTTCATAATATACTTGTAAAAGTGACTGTTGGTCTGAATCTGACGCGGTTTGTGAAAACAGAAGGTTTATTATTCTAAAAGTCTTTAACGGACCCTCTGGTGGACTCCTCAGGGTCCCCTGGAGGGCCACAGACCACAGAGGGGCAGACAGGTCATACAGATGTTGGATGGATCATCTGGAAAAGAGAAATCCTCCATTACACACATTGAACAGCAGAGGGAGCCGGAGGATCGCTGATGTTTCCACCAGTCTTTGTTTCAGTTCTCAGAACATTTACTGATATAAACAGGCTGAACATTTAGATTTAAACACTTTCATAAGAGAGATCAAAGTTTCTTTCACTACATCTGATCTGATCTTCTTCCACAGAAGTCACTGAATGTAAATGTAGAGCATCATGTTTTAGTTTTAACACTCTGTGTGTGTTGTTCTGTGATCAGTCTGTTTCACACATGGTCTCAACACTGTAGAATGAAGCCTTTTAAAAATACTGATCTTTAAAACACGTGGAAAAACTCCGACCCTCACTTCACTGCTAAAATCACAAAATTCAAAATGTTCCCGTTCAGATTTCATGAAAAGAAGGAAAGTGTGAAGACTTGACTCTGTCCTCCTTTTCCCGCTCAGACGCCATCAGCTCGGCCAATCCCAGAGTGATCGACGACAGCCGCGCCAGAAAACTCTCCAACGACCTCAAACGCTGCACCTACTACGAAACCTGCGCCACCTACGGCCTCAACGTGGAGAGGGTCTTCCAGGACGGTAAGAGCCGCCGTCCGTCTCGTAACCTCGTGGTCAGGAAGGCAGAGTCCGGTCCTCTGGGAAGGTGACCCCCCCCCCCATGCCCCATTCGGCCGCTCTTAATCACACGTCAATTAAGAATTAAATGGACCCGCTCAGCTATTTAGCTCAAACCGAACAGCAATTAAGTTTTATCATAGCGAGGGAAGGAAGGCAGGGAGGGGGGGGGGCGAGTCCCTGATGGGATTAATAAAAGAATCAGACATTATAGGAGGAGGAAGGAGACGAGGTGAGGAGGAGGAGGAGGAGGAGGAGGAAGGAGAGTGTCCGGAGTCGTCAAGGTCCCGCTGCTGAGGGTGTTTGATTTAACCTCCTGGAGACGCCAGATGGGCGGGGTCTGTCTGACATCACTGATGTGTTTCTGTTTTCAGGGAATTACTGTTGAAATGAAAGCAGATGAGATAATGAAGATATTGATCAGATATTGATCAGACACGATCAGACATGATCACACGTTAGATCTCAGATTGAAGATATTACAAAGCTGCTGAATAATAATCACATGTAATCTTGACATTAGGAAGAGGTGTCACTCCACCTTCCGGTTCAGGTCTAAACAACTCGTCAGCTCTGCAGTAAATCTGCTCGGGCTAACGCTAACGCTAACGAGCAGCTTCACACCTCTGGATCCTGAAAGTCCTGATTCAGAGTTTTCAAGGTGAAACGATGACGTGATGTCAGTCGGCTCGTTAAGACTCAGTGGATCATGTGATTTGAAAGTTTCTCTCACTAAAACAAACGTGTGACTTTTAACATCAGATACAAGGAAGGATTGTGGTCAGATTATTGGACTGTGGACTCTGTGGAAACCTTCCAGAGACAGAATCCAAAGATTCAACAGGTGTCCAAGTCAAACAGAAGAAGTCTGAGGCAGAAAAGTTTTTTTCTCTTATTGCACTGGAGTATTTTTGCAAATAGTAAACCCTGCGGCTCGTTTTTTACATCCATTAATAAGACGAGACAGAGCCGAGACGTTAATGAAGCGGCCGGTCGGCAGGCGCAGGGTTAACGGCTGTAATTAGAGAGAAATAAATGACACGGACTCTGCGGTTAATTAGCAGAGCTGCGGCGGCTCTGTCGGCCTCTGGCTCCGTCTGCATCCACCTGAGTTTCACACGGAGCAGCTCAGACTGAGGCTGAAAGCTCCACCTGTGTTCACGGCTCGGTCTTTCACTCAGACACAGACACTGTGTGATTTAAAAACTGTTTAAACACAAGGAGCGTTGCCATGGTTTCACTGTGGAACAAACAGGAGGAAACATATGAAGCTGTTGTTTGGAACTATTTTCAGAGGCGGATTAATCCACATTTGGTGCAGTAGGGAGTGTGTGGGGCCGCAGGACGGTGTGTGTGAGTGTGTGTGTGTGTGTGTGTGTGTGTGTGTGTGTGTGTGTGTGTGGATATGTGTCCAGGTTGAACAACAGAACATCAGCTGTTTGTCCTGTAGGGGGCAGCGCAGGAGCAGAGGTGTCAGACACATACAATAACACCGTCTGTACATATCAGTGACAGTGTGGTGAACTGTCAGAGGGATTGTTAACTGAGAAGAGTCAGAGAGAAAGAAACCACAGAAGAAGAGAAACCACAGAAGAAGAGCAGCTGATGGAAACATGAATGAAAGGAGCAGTTTTTTGGCAGAAGATCATAAACTCTGAGCTCGGTGCTCTCGGCCCAGGAGGAAGCTTTCCACACTAAACGCTGCCTGATTATCCTCCTAATTATTCCACCGTGTGTGTGTGTGTGTGTGTGTGTGTGTGTGTGTGTTTGTGTTATTGTGTCTGACACTGTCTCCTTGTATTCTCCTCGTCATTATCCCAAATTAATCAGTTTTTTAATCATCCAGCAGAACGATGAGTTTAATGTTTTCAACACGACAGCAGCCTGCAGCTGTGTGTGTGTGTGTGTGTGTGTGTGTGTGTGTGTGTGTGTGTGTGTGTGTGTGTGTGTGTGTGTGTGTGTGTGTTACTGCAACTGAAAGTGTGTGGAACAATTTGTGTGTTTTGTATTTGCCTTAGTTTTTGTGTGTGGTACATGACTGATGATGAGTACATGTCTCACACACACACACACACACACACTGAACAGAATCACTTTCGTCTCACCTGTTCGTTCACCTGCAGACGTGGATTTCCAAAATAAAAGCTCAGACACAGACAGGAAACTAAATAATAATTTTTCAGGCGGAAAAATTTCATCATAAATTCATTTTGATAAATAAATATAAATGAATGTTTTTTGAAGTTTTTCTCAGGAATTGAATGAAGAAAGTTTATAAACAATATTAATATTGATAAGATAGTGAAAATGCAAACTCTTCCTTTATCTTAATTGTATCTATTAGAAAATTTCATCCTGGTATTTATTATTAATTTAGTATTTATTGTCTGTTAAAATATAAATTGTAGATTTAATTTAAAATCTTCTGTAGCTGCTGAGGAGAATTTAAGAACCTGTGTGGAAGCTGATCACATACTTCCATATTTATTCAGATTCCTGATTGATCCTGGATGTTCTGTGATTGATTATGTATTAGTATTTGTTTTTATTCCTCCCGGTCGTCACTCCTCGTCATCTTCACTTTCATCTCCTCTCCCTCGTTCCTCTGATTTAAATGACATTTGCAAACGTCCTCGTGTTTGTCGATGGTGAATAAAATCACAATTTATGAATGAACGTGTGCATGTATTGATCTCGCATGCATACTTCCGTGACCTTCGCTTCATTTGGTGTCTGGATTGATCGTGGCGGGCCGGCCGGCGGGGGGAGGGGGAGTGGGCGGGGCTTTAATTACAGCGCTCATATTCAGCTCCATTATCAGCTGGATCATCAGGGTGACGAGCAGAGGCTCCTGGTGAGGAAACGCTGATTCGCACTAATTTGACATGATTGGTTTCTGTGTGTGTGTGTGTGTGTGTGTGTGTGTGTGTGTGTGTGTGTGTGTGTGTGTGTGTGTGTGTGTGTGTGTGCGCGGGGCACAGCGAAGCATCGTAAATGAAGTGAAGGCCTGATGAGTTACAGCGGCCGCACGGCGAGGGAGAGGAGTGACCACAACATTCAGTGTTAAAAATAATTGGCCTGCTCGTCAGGACACTTCCTGTGTTGTTATGTGACCTCAGGAGTGTGTGTGTGTGTGTGTGTGTGTGTGTGTGTGTGTGTGTGTGCGTGCGTGCGTGCGTGCGTGCGTGCGTGTGTGTGTGTGTTTGTGTGTGTGTGTGTGTGTGTGTGTGTGTGTGTGCGTGTGTGTGCGGGGCACGGCACGGCGAAGCGTCGTAAATGAAGTGAAGGCCTGATGAGTTACAGCGGCCGCACGGCGAGGGAGAGGAGTGACCACAACATTCAGTGTTAAAAATAATTGGCCTGCTCGTCAGGACACTTCCTGTGTTGTTATGTGACCTCAGGAGTGTGTGTGTGTGTGTGTGTGTGTGTGTGTGTGTGTGTGTGTGTGAGACAGAGGTAATTAATGTAGCCCTGTGTCTGTCTGGTTGTATGTGTGTCCTCTCTTTCCTCCTGTTTTAACGCACAGACGCTTTAATAAATTGACTTCCTGGTTTTATGTCAGTGTGACTGTCAGAAACGACTTCAGTGTCTCTGCAGCTTTAAAACCAGACTCTCAGTGTGTAGCTCTCTTCCTCACCAGTTCATTGATCATGTGACGTCGGATCATGGTGGAAAATGGAAGAAATCATAATGACTTAGTGTCAGAAACCTGAAAGTCTCACTTCACTCTCACACGATCAAACAACAGTCACATCAGAGCTGAAATCATTTCTCCATTAATTCATTTTAATGGTTCCAGCTCCTCCGGTCCGACAGTCCGACAGTCCGACACTTTTTCCAGCTTTGTGTTGTGAGAAAATGAAAATGTGATTTTTGGATCATTGGTCAAACACAAAGATCTATGTGGAAACATCAGTCCAGCTTCATTTGTCACTATTTCCTGATGTTTTACAGACAAACAGCTGATCTGCATATTAAATTATATTAATATCAATGTTAGTTGCAGCTTTAATGATCATTTATGAAGCTAAATTGTTGTTTATAGACAAACTGATGAGTCGATTAATAAAATAATATAATTATCAATATGATCTTATTGTGAGAGAAGAATCAGAAGAGTGTGTGTTTTATCTCATTTTCTTTGTTTTAGGCTGTGACTCGTGTGTGTGTGTGTGTGTGTGTGTGTGTGTGTGTGTGTGTGAGAGAGAGAGAGAGAGAGAGAGTGTGTGTGTGTTTAACATGTAATTTGCTGTAATGGGAAGTGAAGCCTCGTCCAGTCGGGGGGAGTGACCTCTGTGTGAGGGATAGAGGGGGAGGAGGGAGGGTGACAGTGCTGTGCTCCCTCGTCCATCAGCGCGCTAATTTAATTAGCCTAATTGCACGGACATGAACTCCCCCCAACACACACACACATGCATGCACGCTTCTTCTTCTTCTTCTTCTTCTTTCTAATCCAGGCGCTTCGTTAGCACACGCTAACGAGCTGAGATGACCTCTCACACAGTCACTCACAAGCCTTCATACAGACACACACATGAACACACACATGAACACACACATGAACACAGGTGTGACAGAGTCCAGGTGGGTTCGACTCTGGCTCTGCAAACCAAAGTCTCAAATACAAACATACATTTTTAAAAGGATTAAAACAATATTGATAAGTGATTGATTATTTTTCAAGAAACCATGATCAATAATAATCTGTGACGCTCACGTCCACAGTCACAGAAGTGTTTGTACATATCGTGTTAAAGGAGAAATAGTAAATATGAGACAGAAAACACGTGACTGCAGCGCCCCCTGCTGGTCCAAACCTTCAGTCTGTCTGACGGTTTAAACATGGATGGAAATATTCTACATGTATTAAACATCCGTTTAAACACGTGTGGAAACAATAGAAATTACAAGAAACTAATAATAATAATAAATACTATTTATAGTAAAAAATAAAATGCAAGTTCTAGGAAAAAAAATCAAGTACAAGATTCAAAATAAATAAATTTTAAAAAGATAAATGAGATTGTAAAAGATAGATGTGATCAAACAGAACAGGCAGGTTTGGACAGGTGTGTTTGAGGTGTAAAGGGGGTTTGAACGCAGCTTTTCTCAGTCATTTAAAGTGACAGGTCACAGTAACTGGAGGAAACAGGAAGCGTTCACAAGTTCAACTCAAATCTGAAACGTGTGTTAAACTGTTTGAAACCTCCTGAGCTGGACGGACGCTCGTATCTGCAGCTTCAGTGTTTGATGTTAAAGTGTGAAAAGTGAAACACTGCAGAGTCAGCTTCACCCCCTCCCCTCCCCCACCCCTCCCCCCTTTATGTCTCACCCGGTGGTGCAGCCCCGTCATAAATCTGATCAAAGGGGAGACGTTCCCATTAGAAGAAATGGCAGCTTCTCAGAGCAGAACCGAGATTGATGGATAAAGTTAAATAGCATTAACCGTGCAGTTTAAATATTTAGCGCGGCCTTATCATAACTGTTCTTAACACTTAAAGTAAAATACAGCCTGGCAGGTGGAGCAGCACACGCTGACATGTATGTGAGGCTGCAGGTGTCAGACGGTGATGCTGCGTCTGTTTGACGGGAGACAGCAGAGACTTCAGACTTTACTGACTCCATTATCTCTGTTCCAATAAACACAGGCCTGTTTCATGCGCTCGCAGATGAAACCATTGTTTTAATTGGGCTCGTTAAAGCCCCCGGCTTCGTTAATGAGGAGCCAGTCGTAAACATTTACCTCCAGGTGACACGGGGCCGAGCCAAGGGCAGCGAGGAGAAACTCTGACATGTTTTCTTTTTTTAAAAAGCCTCTGCGGTGCGATGAAGAACAAGAACATGTTTCAGCCTCTGACACTGATCAGCTGCTTCACCTGCTTCACCTGTGATGTGATTCTGCATCACACAATAAACACAACACACACCTGCAGAGTGACAATGAGTTCATGTTTGTGAACTGAATCAATCTTTACATGTGATCACCTTCAGACTTTAAGTCTTCTCTTCACTTATATTTAAGGTTTTCTCCTGATCTTAAGCCTATACTTTCGGAATCACTTGAGGTTTCTATGGAAACAGTAGAACTTTACTGCTGTAAAGTCCCTTTCACTGCTGCAAATGCCTCACCTTCAAAACATGAGAAGAGATTCTGTGCAAACAGCCTTAAGTAACTCCCTCAGTGTCATACTGTCATACTTAAGCAGAAAACTGAAACCCTGACCTCTTGACTGATGCTGTGTATTGATCTGTGATGGTGACTGATGGATGTGATCGTGTCCTCCTGTGTGTTACAGTCGCCCAGAAGATCGTGGCCACCAGGAAGAAGCAGCAGCTGTCCATCGGCCCGTGCAAGTCGCTCCCCAACTCTCCGAGTCACTCGTCCGTCTGCTCCACGCAAGTGTCGGCCGTCCACATCAGCCAGGTCAGAGGTCACAGCCACACAGTACGACTCATTAACCGGACATTTTGGCATTTTTATTTATTTGTTTACAAGTCAAATTTAATATTTTTGAGACGGAACAAAAAGGATAAAACCAGCTGATATGTTCCTGAGTTCATAGACACATTTGACTTTGCTGGATGTAGTTTTTCAGTTTCTTTTTAATCAGTGAGACAGGAAGTCATCGTGGTTTTAAAGAAAGAAATAAACCTGTTCAGTTGAAGACACTGTAATTAGGTCAGGGAGTTCATTAGACCTTTAATTATTAAAGTAAATCATGAGACACGAGCCTCGTGCCTGTTCGTCCTGAAAACTGTGATCACGTGTATTTTCATTTATTTGTCGTCAGTAGAACTGATGTTACAGTGAAGGGAAAAAAAGTCCTTTATTTTGTTGTTAAGTGAATATGTGCACGTGCACAGAGTCTGTGTACGTGCACGGCTCTCCTCGGTGACGTGCACTCACACTCTGCTGCTGCAGCTTCAGGCCGTTAAGCTCTTCGATCCTCATCCTTCAATCCTCCATCGATTTCTCATTAAAAAGCCATCGCTCAGCGTGTCTGAGCAGCAGCGCCGCGTCCCCCGAGAGCCGTGTTTATCTTCCCGCCGCCTCCACAGAACAGCCCTCGCTGCATCTTTAGCTCTCACTGATTACTGCCGAGCGTTGGCCGCCTCGCTCGGGAGACACCGTTACACTGACGAGACGTCCAACACGTTCAAACACCAGGAAACTTTTGTCCTGCAGCGCAGAGACTGTAAATCAGAGTCTCAGATACACGTGAAAACACTTTCACAAGATTTCACAGAATCTGCTTTTATTGTGAAAGGGAAGTTAACATGTGAGATTTTATTTTAATTTCCAGGATAAAAACACGTTTCTGGTTCCTGTTCTGATTCTTTTCCAGACGAGTAACGGCGGCGGCAGTTTGAGCGACTACTCGTCGTCGGTGCCGTCCACGCCCAGCACCAGCCAGAAGGAGCTCCGCATCGACGTACCGCAGACCACCAACACGCCCACGCCCGTCCGAAAGCAGTCCAAACGCCGCTCCAACCTCTTCACCGTGAGTCCCGTTCCAAATCTCTTAAACCTGATCCCAGATCTCTACAGTGTTTCATACACTCTATACTCTCTAGATCTACGTTACTGTCACACTGTAATAAACTGTATTTATATGTTTTACACTGTATTAATAAATAAAAAGTTCAACCACGTGAAAGACGGAGGGAAAACGAGGTGATGCAGATTCAGTGGATCAATATTAGTTAATCAGCTGATTATTTGTTTGATTAACTGATTACTCGTCAGATCTGTAAATGTCAGAAAATACACACGACGATTCTCTGGCTTCACTAGTTCTGGAGCTTTCAGTCAGATCGCATGGTCTTCATCAGCTGACCAGCTGTCATGGACCTTGATCGATCATGGTTGAAAGCTCCAGAACAGCTACTAAAAGGACCTGGAGCTGCTGCAGGTCAGAATCAAGACGTCAGCTTTCGTTTTCACTTTCTGACACCTGATCAATGAATTGAGAAGCTATTGATTGGCTGAGCCGCTGATGACGGCAGCGATCGGCGGATCAGTCTGTGACGATGGTGACGGCGTGTGTCTTCTCTCGCCCACAGTCGAGGAAGGCGAGCGAGCCGGACAAGGACAAGAAAGGCCTGGAGGCTCGAGCCGACAGCATCGGCAGCGGGCGGGCCATCCCCATCAAACAG